GAAACAGAAGCAGAGGGAGAAATATATATATATATATATATATATATATATTCAGTAGGAAGCCCTTTCACTTCTTGTCTAATACTTTTGAGTGCCAGAGGTTTAAAAACTCTCAGCAGGATTATATGGTTATGTAAGGGAGAGGAAAACAAAGAAAGACATTCTGACTGTGCATTTCAGCCAGCTATGGTTCTGTGAGGAATAAAATCCTGAACAGAAAGACAACTATTTCAATGGGCATACAAAATAACTTAAAGATGTGGCTCCAACTAAGAACTTAAACCCTCACAAACCCCATCCACATCGAATAGCTCCTAATATCCTCTCCCATATAGCTCTAGAATTCACAACTAATTATTTCTTTCTAGAAGCTTCCCCCACTACCCTGGATAAGTGGAAAAGAGATGCTGATATTACCCCAGTTTGAAACTCTGAGTACATTTTCCATAAAGACAATTACACTTGGACATCAGCAAATGGAATAATACTTAATATCATCTCTGGAGCTGGTCTCCTAGAACTCAACTTCTCTATCTGCCACTTACTAGCTGTTTCACGTAGAGTAAGTCACAAAATCATTCCAGGGTTCAATTTCCTCATCAAGATCTCAAGATGGTTGAGAAGATTAACAGAAATAGTACCGTAAATCTTTTGTCACAGTTAACCCCTAATTGTGAATTCTCAATACATGTCACTTAAAATGATTTCTTGTAGTATATTATCACTAGTGTATTATTGTACATATAATACTAGCCTTTATATAGATTATGGGATAAGTAGATCTATGCTGGCTTGTCAGGCTATCACTTTTAAATAATGATTATTTCCTTATTACTTTATAAAGTATTCTAGGATCCAAAATACTAAATGACAGACAAAAATTTTATAACTAGCCAAATCTGCAAATCAAGCAACCTATATATTATCACTCTCATTTAATGGAATTTGGTGAAATTTAATTTTTATCCCAGATATTATATCATAGGCCCAACCCACCAGGAAACATATTAAATTAATTGTACAACTGTGAGACTATGAGTGCAAATAAAGTACTTATAGTTTTTAGTTTTATATACAATTTGGAAAGCATGTGATTAATATTCATTCTCTTAGAGTTTTCTGGAAAATATGTAGACTTTCAAAGGTATTTGATAGTCAGCCATCTGAATATGTGGAATATTTTTGTAACCACAACTAAACAAATGCCTTTGAAGTTTTTAAGCACCTAAGTTATGTGGATCCAGAATCTTTGCTTTGGACGCATATGAAATAGTTTTCTTTTTTCAGCCCAAATACCTGCCTTGAGCACTAAGGAGTAAGACTAATACAGGAAGTTTAAAAAGAGGTCATGTGTGGCATACATGGGGCTATTTCAGTAGGAATTGCATTATAGCATGGCATGCAATAGACTATTTGAAAGAACAAAATAAAGAACAGTATTTTATGTCATGTATCTTTGTGTTTTCCTTTAAAAAAATTGTAGGTGGCATCACTTTGGTCTTTTTTCCCTTATCATGATTGATGTACACAGTTGACTTTCTATTGAAAATCTGGCAGGATAAAGGAATGACAGAACTTCCTGTTTTTGTCTCATTCTATCTCCCTTGAAAAAAAACGAACCGTGTTTATTGTTTTCCTGTTCTAAGAAACTGTTCTCCCCCTTTTGTTAAGTCTTCTTTTTTTTATGAGCTCTACAGTTTCTTAAGAACACTACACCGCCTGCTTTCTGACTGTTAAATCTTCCTTACTTCCTTGTTATCATTACCTTCTAGTTAAGTTTTAATGCTTGCAGCCAAGTGACCACGTGGTCAGCAGTTACACAGGAAGTCCCAATATAGAATCATCTCTTGGATGTGACCCTCTGTCATTCCAAAGGCCTTAGCATTCATTTCCTGGTTGTTTCTCCTGTCCTGCCAGTTAAAAGAACTGTGGTGAACTCTTTATTTGCTGGCCCATGCCCTACCTCATGGACAAGTGGTCAGCCTCACATACTTAGCAATGAACTTAGCCAACCTTCTTTCCATCCATGGCAGACTGGGTTGAAAATCAAATGAGAGAAATTTATGCAATGAACATCACAACTAGCTGTTTCTAGTATCTTTACCAAAAGAACTGTGCTTCAAAGGCAATCTTTCCAGAATCCCAGTCTGGAAGATCTTTTGATGTCCTTACCCCCAGTTGGGTGAGAGTTTATT